ACACAATTGCATTGCTAGATCGTCTTATTCTTTCAAATACCTCAGATGCAACATGATCTAGGAAGTTATTTATGTCATTCATTTGATCTGGAGTCTCTGTGAGGTTGGGGTTGACGATATGTTTAAGTGGATTGAGAAGGTTCAAGTCAACTTGCAACTTTTTTGTATCATCCCTATGGTTGCAGTTGTGATTATCATCACTGTTTAACAACAGAATCTTTAACATGTCTGGAATGGAGACAAGCTTGTGTGGGGAGTAGTGTAACGTAGTGTACTATATTACACATACATAGCTTATTCTAGTTTCTGGACAAGCCAATTCACCTATAACGTTATGAGTCATATTTTGATCTTGTTAATTATTCGCTTATTGACCTTGACTATTTTTTTAATATGAGCGCATGTGTATGCACCCTTCTTATCCTACCTATCACATGTCTGTCATTCATTTTAGTCTGACTATAAATGTTGATTAATGCTTGCTTATAACGAGTTGGCTTCCCAGCTATCTCCACTCTGCGTCATCTTTCCTTCGCTTGCTTACATTTGCTAATGTGCTCACTGCCTTCTAGCCCATGTTATTTATCAATAAAAATGTAGTTGCTGCTTCCCTTTGTCTTCTGATATTATACACCGTTCAGATTGTTATAATAACGGTTATCAAGACGATCGATTAACGAAGCACTACACTACACTTGTCTGCTTCCGGATGAACGGTGTAGCTCGTCTCGTTGAGACCGTCGGATATCGCTCCAGTAGTAGTGTTAGGTTGCGTCGTTTTCCTGCGTTTGGCTAGACGCCTTCATTTTATTTTGTGGCACGATAAGAAAGTGAAGTATAGCAGATGGATCGAACAAAATGTTGGAAGTAGAAATAGGCGAAAAAGTCAATGCTGTGGGCTCAAGACTAGAAATCAAAACCTATGTTTAAGACGAGAGTGAATGTATCGTGAGGATAAGTGAAGGTGTCAAAAACAAGAGATGAGAATAGCAGAAAGATAGTAGTGGAGATGTAGCATGTATGCCAGTAAATGTGTGGAGGCAAAATAGAGCATAAAGGAGTACGTTGTGTAAGTTTTAACATATATATTACACTGAGAGATAGCCTTGTATAATAAATTAATTTAGAGATGTCAATAGTTAGCAACAAACAATCAAAGTTGATACAGCATGTGGTGCATATATAAACTGAGTTATAGTATCCAAATACGATTAAAGTGATAGCATATAAAATAATGAGAACAGCGCTTTATCATACACGACTATACATTTCTTATTATTAGGTAGAGGTCTGGATAGATCCCGAAAATACATAAAGCACGTGGGTTATGGCACCCAAACACGATATAAGGTATAGAATACAAATGTGAAATGCAATTCTTCGTCGAATATGATTATATATGGTTTTAAAAATGACAGAGCATGGTTTGATTGTATAGCCGAAATGAATATGTATCTGATCATGAACTACTGAATGAATATGACCATATATACCATGAATAAGTTAAGCTCAAATCTTACCATATAGCATGAAATTCGCAGTTTAAATGTTAAATGTCCAGAATTCAGTTATCTCCCGTGCTTCCAAGAAAAAATAACCCATTATTATCTGAACTACGTTCAACACCCTTTTAGGCAACTACGATAGCCCAATTCATTAACACAAATACGTGTAGCAATGACGACTATTAGGGGTCCAGTCCTTGCTCACGTTGTTAGCTAATGTCTATTTAAGGCATTTAATGGAAATATTTTCTAGAGCTTGATGCTTTAACAAGTTTATTTCGCTGAAGCATGTAAATTATATTAAAGCTTGTCAATCAACCGTCGTAATTAATAATTAATATTGATGAGCTGTTATCAGTATTGATTGAACTAGTGAGTTATGAGTACTAATCAAAATAACAATACAATAATACACGTGAGCATTATTTTGAGGACTGACAGAAGGTTAGAGAAAATGAGGATTAATAATAGGCTGAGCTACTTTAGCCGGGCTTACCAATGTAGAATTATGGTGTACTTCATTATTAGTATTATCATAATAAACCAATTTCTCTTTTCCTCTGTTATCAGTCTTCAGTAATAAGGATAGGAGGTCTAGTGACCTATTTTAATCCTTGCAGTTTGTTACACTGTGGAGGTCCAATCTCGTCCTGAATATATCAACAGAAGGTGATGATATTACGTGTTCTGGTAGAGAATTCCAGTAATTCACTACTCGGTGCGAGAAACGAAACTCCAGACGTAGACGATTTGATCTCGGTTTTTGGACTTTCTTTGAATGTCCTCTCAAATGCTCAGCCCTAGACGGGAGGAAAAGATAGGACATGTTAGTACCAAGGTCATCGTTCAGGATACGATATGCCAATATTAGATCACCCCGTATTCGCCGGTAAGATAACGGAAATAAGTTGAGGTGTCTCAGTCTGTCTTCATAAGATAGGCTAGATAAGCCTTTTACCATTTTTGACCCGCGGCGTTGGACTCGTTCCAACATATCCGCCTCATATTTGAAACAAGGACTCGCTGCTTGAATCTCATATTCCAAATGTGGCCGTACGAAAGTTGGGTATAATAATCTAAACATTTCCCCATCCAGATACCGGAAAGATCTACGAATAGACCATAATGCCCCATAGCCTTTTGCAACAGCAGCCTTACAGTGACTGGTTGTTTTGAGATCATTACTTAGTATGACTCCTAAATCTTTATAGTTTCTTACTTTGGGCAACACTAGTCCACATATTGTGTAGTGATACGAATCATCGTAGTTATTTAATTGCATCACAACACTTTTATTAGGATTTACTTCTAGTGACCACCCATTCATCCATGCAACTAGTGAGTTAAGATCTTCCTGTAAAACTATTCTGTCTGACATACTATATATGGGTCTCCAAATCTTAATGTCATCGGCGAATAGTAGGACGGATGACTTAGCTATAGCTGGTAATTCATTTATATAAAGTAAAAAGAGAAGAGGACTTAAAATCGTGCCTTGGGGGACGCCACATTTTACTGGTTCCCACGATGAGAGAGCCCCATTTACTCTTACCCGTTGTCTGCTTTCATGAAGAAAGTCACTTAGCCAGTCTATGACTGCATAATGAATTCCAAAACTTTCTAGTTTCAATTGAAGACCAGAATGGGAAACCTTATCAAAGGCCTTACTTAGATCTATGAAAATGACATCTACAGGAATATTGCGATCTTTTGCCTCAGCCCAATCTTCTCTTGCAATGAGAAGATTTGTCAAACATGATAGACCTTTTCGAAAACCATGTTGTTCCTTTGACAAAAGATCGTGTCTTTCCACGTAGTTTATAACAGCCATCCTAATAATTTTTTCCATTACTTTTACAACTGCACTAGTTAAGCTGACGGGTCGATAGTTACTAACTAAATCCCTACCCCCAGTCTTATACACCGGACTGATTATTGCGTCCTTCCAGTCTCTGGGCAATCTGGACTGCCGTAGGGACATATCGAACAGCATCGCTAAGGGTTCAGCAATAACATCTGAGAGGGCTTTCATAATCCGAGGATGAATATCATCAGGACCACTAGACTTATCAGGTTTGAGATGCTGAAGTAGGCTTAAAACAGTTTCTTTCTTGATAACTACAGGGTCCATCAAGAAGTCGCCACAATCACAATGAATAGGTGATCGTTCCTCATTATTGGTAGAAAAAACTTTACTGAAATATTTCGAAAAAGCTTCCGCATTTTCGGTATCATTTCTTGCCAAACTTAACGGATTTTCTTGTATCAAAAGTGATGGTATTTCATCACTTCTCTGAGTTCGCCTCTTTATATACGAGAATAACCGTTTTGGACTATGTTTGCAATCCCTAACCAATTGTTTTTCGTATGACCGTCTAGTCCTACTAATTAACGCAATTATTTCTAATCTTACGATAACTAGATCTGTACTGTTCTAAGCCAGTAGAGATGAACATGTTCCAGTGTTTTTTCTACACCTAAGGAGTTTCTTAACTTCTTTATTTATTCACGGTGGACTATTGTTCGGTCTACGTGGCACCAAGTATGGTATGAACGGGGACGTGACTGCACTAAGCTTGCCTTTAAATACAGACCACGCCTCATCAACTGATGAGCAAGTATCTACTGACCAATCTATCTTAGTAGCACAATCCTGAATTTCTGGTATGTTAGCTCTCCATATGTTTGGGCGAGGCTTAATCTGATCGTATATCATATCGCTAGCTCTAAACGTGAATGATAAAACAGCGTGATCGCTATTTACTAACGGGGAAGAATATTTAGGTTGGCAATATCCTCAGTCTCATGGGTAATTACCAAGTCCAACAGAGAAGAACCTTGGTTTACACCAAAAAGTGTAGGTTTGGATACATGTTGTACTAATGCATGTTCCATTACTGTTTCCAAGAGCCTGCTATCAAATGAGTTTATAGAGCATTTCGTGGTCATCTCAGTCCAACTAATGTCAGGTGCATTAAAGTCTCCTAATATCAAGCATCTGTTATTTGCACTCCATAGCCGAATGTGCTCTAAAATAAAGTCATCAGCTAAGCAGATTGGGCTGCGATAGATGACACCGAGTGCAAATGTACAACATCCGACAGTGAGTTCACAGCTAATGACTTCACTAGTTCCACTATCATGGGATTCGCAAACGGAGGAGCGGATATTTATACTATTGGCTATGTATAGAAGGACGCCACCTCCTTTCCTGCATCTGTGTCTATCACTTCTTAAACAATGATATCCGGATAATTCTGGGGTGATATGGAAGTCATGGACTAACCAAGTTTCCGTCACAGCTACAATGAGTGGCCTTAATTTGTCCACTAATGTTCCTAGCTCGTAGAATTAATGTTTTAGACTACGGGCGTTAATATACCTAGGTTCTTGCCTGGAGGTATTGGTGATCCACTGCTACTAGACACGGAAGCCTGTTAAGCGAAAGCTTCTTCTATTCCGTCCACAACCATTTGAAGGACATTGAAACAAAAGAGAGGGAAATCCGAACAAGCCTGATTTTGTTCAGATGGCCATTTCGCATACTTTAGGAACTGACTCACTTGTTAGTCATGCCTTCAATAGAGATGGCACAGAGCTCGCCCTTTCTGTCAATACTAGCGACGTTTACTTGTTGAGTGTTCCAGAGTCACCCAGTGGAAGGTTTCAGGTTATCGATGTCCTACGGGAACATAGTGCTTTAGTTACAAGTATAGACTGGGCACCGCAGACAAATAGGATTGTTTCATGTTCTGCTGATCGTAATGCCTACGTATGGAATAAGCAGTCCGATAATAAATGGAAGCCAACACTGGTTTTGCTCATGGTACGTTGTATCTACCAAGTTCTGTATTTCCGTCCAATTTATTCTCAAGATCGATAGAGCCGCAGTGTGCGTAAAGTGGTCTCCATTAGAGGACCGTTTCGCTGTGGGCAGTGGTTCAAAACTTTTGGCAGTGTGTTGGTTTGACGAGGAAAGTGATTGGTGGATTGGCAAAAAGATTAAAAAACCTATAAGATCTACCGTCACATGTATTGACTGGCATCCAAATAATGTTCTTCTAGCTTGTGGGTCAAGCGATTTTCACACGAGAATATTTTCGACCTTCACAAGCTCAGACTCTTCGGAATCAGTGTGGGGCAAACACTCTCCTTTGGGTGCCATACTATTCGATCATTCGGATGGGGAAGGTGAGTGGTGTTTTATATATTTGGAATCGATGTACATTTTTTGAGTACTTCCCAACTGATGTAGTTGCCTCATTTTAATGTAAAATGCTTGGGAAGCAAACGATAATGTTGGGAACACAAGTCATGTTTACTGATAAGTTTATCGTCGTCGTCTTTGGTCCAATTTTAGTCGCGGGTTCTCGTGTTATGTGGGCCGTAAGTTCTCTTAGTATCACACAAACTTAGCTTCGATGATAGAGGCTACCAAATAGACGGGACGTTACCTCGTGACAATCATGATTATCATTTAATCATATGATGGTTGTGTTTTTTCGCCCTTGTGACAGCATGAGACAACTGTAACTGCTACTTAGACATAGTAGTCGGGCTTGCCTACCGCAATAGCGCGACCAAACTATATTGGGGCACGTTGTTTTAGGTCCTACCATACTAGGCAAGCTGGTTGGAGAACAGCAAGACTAAAAGCAACAAAGAGCGATATCGCACTACTGGTGTAGATAGATGTGGCAGTAGTAAGGTGTTTCTCTTAAACAACCAGTATCTGCAATAATGCCGCCTCATAAGGAAAGGAGGGGTTTAGCAAGGATCAGCCCTAAAAATAGTGCACCTCATCTTACCCAATAGATTTTCATAAACGGGTGTTAAGTATATTGCGTAGTTAGCTGTTAATCAGTACCTGTACTGTTTGATAATAATTTCAGTCTCAGCTCTGTGCAATAGAACTATCTTGACGTTCGTATTGAGGATTCTGACTTTGGTTGATTGACAGTTGTTTTGAGTCCCTCAAATTATTCAATTGTAGGAATATTGTACTTGCTTCTCCAATCTATGCCTTTACATTTGCATCAGATTCTCCTCGTTTATCGATTATGTTGCGTAAAATTTTCCACCTGTTCCAGAATTCTCCATCAAGTGTTACTGAGTTAGTGCTGACTGTGTTGTCTTTCATGATTGTGCTTTTCCCGTTTTGAATATTGTGACCTACTAACTCAGAGGCTGCTGCTACATTGGCTGTCTTTATTATTTATTATTTATCTATTTGAACACATAAATATTGGTACAAAGGGGTACCGAATACATATGCGCCGCACAAATCTTATTTGATTTGTGTTAGGGCTGTGATACTGCCCAGATGCCCAAACTGAAGCAGGTACATTGGCTGTCTTTACTTGCAGTCGTTGATGTGTACAGGATAGAAGGGCCAGGTCAACTGCGAAGTCCAAATCGTCTAGTTGCATCCAACCTGTGCATTTTATTCCGTGCTTCCCATCAGATGCCAAGGTTTTCATAATCCAATCAACCACCAGAAGGAAGAGAAAAGGGGTCAGCAGACAGTCTTGTCTGACTCCGGTCTTTATTTAGAATGCGTCTGTCAGCTGTCCTCTATGCATGACTTCACAGCTTAGTTCATCGTATGAGTTCCGGATAATGTTGTTGATCTTCTCAGGAACTCCAGAGTGTCGAAGAAGTTTCCATAATGTCCTATCCACACTGTCAAACGGTTTCTCATAATCAATAAAGTTAATGTATAATGACGGATTCCATTTAATTAATTGTTCAACAATGATCCGTAATGTCGCGATTCGGTCTGTGCACGACCGATGTTTACGGAATCCGACCGGATGATCTCGAAGCTAGGCGTCTACCAAATCTTTTACTCGGTTTAGTAACACTGTTGGAAAATTTGCTTGTCACCGAGAATAGTGTGATTCCTCTGTAGTTCTCACATCTGCTCAGATCTTTCTGTGGTATCTTGGTGAGGTATCCTTCTTTTCAGTCCATCGGCACTTGTTCTTCCTCCCAAATCTTCCTGAGTAGAGTGTGGGGCATTTACTTCTATGTCAGACCTTAGTGCTTAGACTGGTATATTGTCAGGTCCTATTGCTTTCCCACTCTTGATTTGTTTGATGGTCATTCTGATTTCTTCGATCGTTGGTGGAGTGACACTTATAGGAAGGTCTGTGTGTGATTATTCGATGTCCGGTGGATTCAATGGAGCTGACCTATCGAAGTATTCCTCAAAATATTCTACCCATCTGTTCCGCTGGTCCTGAATCTCAGTGATTTGCTTGCCATTTTGTCCTTGACTAACCACTCTAGTTGACAATATTTCCCCGTCAGTTTCTTTGTCGTGTCAGATAGTTGTCTGATATTTCTTTTTCTTCCAGCTTTTTTCGATCTAGTTCTTTGTAGTGAGCCCCCAAATGCCCTGGTACGGCCGAGAGTGGGGAGAGTCACCTCTCCCTCTCGAAATGCTCTCATATGGCCAGCGAATATATAGCCTCTGTCAGGGAAGTCCTACTCACTGCCTTCTCGTGGCGGGGGTGTTGTTTACGAAAGTGAGAGGACGAAAAGCGAATGTCTGGCGCTTTAACCGGGTTGGTGGACACGGAGGGTCCACCTAGAGGAGTTGGAAAACCCTCATTCCAAACCAATGGTGCACATGGGCTCCAGTATCCTGAGGGAACAAATGGCGTACGAATCAACCGTTGATCACCGGCTACCATGGGACTGCATCTCCTCACGATGCTCCACTGCCTTGTGGATCAGACATTCAGGTCAAAGGCTCGGGGTGTGGTCCCCTAAGAAAACCACCTGCTTCAGTCTGGGCACCTGGGCAGTATCTCAGCCCTCACACAAATCGAATGAGATTTGTGAGGCGCATATTTATCTGGTGCTTCCTTGTACCAATATTTATGTGTTTAAATAAATAAATAAAGTGTGATCCGGTGAACGCATGCAGCTTTGTGTGCGTGTTTGTGAAGTAATATTGTGCCGTCTGTAACGATTTTGTTGAATGAACCTAGATTTGCAGATCTCTCACCGTTCTCGTTCCTTTCTCCCAGTCAGTTCATGTCGTCCCATGATATCTTCATATCCGGTGTTGTCCATTCCGACTTTGGCGTTTAGATCTCCCATCATGATGGTTAGGTTGTTTCCTGTGCACTCCATAATTGATTGCATAACACGATAACATTCTTTTTGACTCACTCCTTTGTTTTGAAGGATGCCTTAATGATCCTGAATTCATGAGATTCTCACCCAATAAGTGCATTTCGTGCTTCTCTGGACAGCATTAGAGCAAGTCCCTGAGTGTGTGGAGTATTTTCCTCCTCGTAACCAGAGTACAGCAGCATCTCTCCCTTATCTAGCCTTTGCTGTTCAGCTTGGGTCCAATGAGTTTCGCTGATTCCAAATACTGCCAATTTGTATCTCCTCATTTCCGTTGCTATTTGACTGGTCTTCCCGATCTCCCACATTGCTCGGACGTTCCATGTACCTATATTAATTGTTACTCTGGTTGTTAGAAGTGTCATCAACCTCATGACTTTCGAAGAATCTTGGCTTTCATCACTAGATGTCATAGATCTTCCTTCAACTCCTAGGGGAGAGTTTAAATGGTTTAATTTGTTTATTATGGTTAGCGTTATTTAACAAGGTTGTTTTCCACGGGATCGGGTTGCCAACCCCACGCCCAACCCTCTTCCTTTACCTGGGCTCGGGACCAGCAGCAGTCCTAGAAGAGCTACAGGTGGAGTTGTTCCATGGGTAGGGTCAACCATTTTCAAAGACAAGAACGACTATCGCCTTATCCCAGGATGTTGAAACACTCTTTAGTTTCAAGACTTTTGTGAAAAACTCAGTCAATTCCTCGTCGGACCGTCATCATTATCTCTAAAAAGGGTTTTGGGTGAGTCTTCTGGGCCTGATGATTTGTTGTGCTTCAGAAGTTGAAGTTTGCGGACTTCCGCCTCTTTAGGCGGATCAGTTGTCACTGAGCACTCAGTAAAAAACAGCCTGATCAATATCGCCAAAGCAGCAAACTGGTTGAACTGCTTGTCTAAAGAACTCTACCTATTGTCTAATATGCTGGTGGATATTATTGATCGGCGTCCCTCCAATTTCATAGATTGTTTCACTCACACCAGGTTTCTTACAGCCAGTAGCTGGGATGAGTTATAAGAGCTACTGGCAACTGCCATATGCAGCTGCTACTTTCAACATGTTAGCACGCTCCAACCATCAAGTTTTTAGGTTCTTACGTAAACATTGCCCAGTTTTTCGTAGTAAGCATCTTCGTTTATGGTCATACTCGCGATTTGCTCCAGTAGACCGAGGCGCTTCAGTGAACTGTAAGGAGCCTGTAGGAACCCAGTGCCTATAAGTGGGACATTTTGCGAAGCTACAGACGACGTTCCTCCCTATTTTCATTTCTAGTGCTCATCTATACTTTTTGGTAGGTTGGTGGCTAGCCATGAATCAAGCTCGGTTTGGTATTTGGTTTGAAAGGAAGCTACAGTCAGTTTCATTTATTTTATTTTATTTGAACACAAATATTGGTACAAAGGGTCACCGAATACATATGTGCCACACAAATCTCATTTGATTTGTGTGAGGGCTGTGATACTGCCCAGGTGCCCAGACTGAAGCAGGTGGTTTTCTTAGGGGGCCACACCCGGGGCCTTTGACCTAAAGGTCTGATCCACAAGGCAGTGGAACATCGTGAGGAGATGCAGTCCCATGGTAGTAGGTGATCAACAATAGGTTTCCTCAGGATACTGGAGCCCATGTGCACCATTGGTTTGGAATGAGGGTTTTCCAACTCCTCTAGGTGGACCCTCCGTGTCCACCAACCCGGTTAAAGCGCCAGACATTCGCTTTTCGTCCTCTCACTTTCGTAAACAACACCCCCGCCACGAGAAGGCAGTGAGTAGGACTTCCCTGACAGAGGCTATATATTCGCTGGCCATATGAGAGCATTTCGAGAGGGAGAGGTGACTCTCCCCACTCTCGGCCGTACCAGGGCATTTGGGGGCAATCAGTTTACCTACATCGGTCCGTTTATTATTTTTATTTATTTGAACATATACATATATATTAGTACAAAAGGGCACCAGATACATATACGCCACACAAAATAATGAAAGTAGGAAGAGAAGGGATGAAAAGATAAGGCGGACTGAAATATACAACCATAAGACTCAGTTAAGAAAGTTAGA